GTAACATTGAGAGTTAACTGTGCCAAAACACATTAGATTTAAAGACTGCAGGAATAACAGGAGCACAGTTGAAATACACAGTGTTTATGTGTATAAATGTGATAACACTCAGTGACAGTGGGAGGCAGCCGGAGGCAGACGCTACTAAATGTGCGCATAAAACCTGATTTCCTCTTTTCTTTTTCAGTTTAAACTAACGCACGCTCTCACAACAAAGCCCTCTGAACTCTGCAGCACCACCTTTTCATGTTTCTGGGCTGCACAAAGGTTCGTATCATACCGAGAAGAGTTGTTGCTGAGCAGAGGCAGCATCACAGTGTTTCCACCTGTGGTCGGAGCGGAGAGGGTGGTGATTGACTGCAGAGACATGCTCAGATGGAGCGCAACCCCCTCCTCTGACAGGAAGCCAAAGGGCCATCTGCAGCGCCCGAGCTATTGTGTGGCTGTGCATTAAGCTATTTTATGTCCCACATGAATTTACTGCCAGTCTTAAGTTAGCGGGATTGCAGGCGGAGAGTATTTCATGTGTACTGTGAGGAGAACAAAGGCAGTTTTGGTTAAGTGTGTGAGCCTCGCAGATGTAAGAGCTACATGAAAAGAGAAAAAGACCAGATTTGGATTTCAACTCAATACTTTATTAAATAATCAACATCATCATGAAAAACGGAAACAAACCAAAAAAAAATGAAACAGTCACATTTGTTTTTCTTCAAGTTTTTCTCATCAACAGTATTTCACTTTTAGCTTCACACACACTTTTAGTGGCTCAACAAAAGCCACTGGAGGTGATGTTCCGCTTCATTTTGGCGTGACGGTTACAATGATTGCTGAGGAGGGTCACTATGGGCGGAGGAGATGGACACTAGATAGTTATATATTCATGTCTGTATTTACGCCTGTCCAGTGTGTTGTGATGAATATGACATGAAATTTGAAAGCTTTTTTTTGCGTCAGAGGTGAAGCTACAACCAGTGAGGACGCAGACCAAGCTGGAGCTGCCTGTGACAAACGCTACATAAACAATGGCTGCTTTTGTGTCACCAGCTGGTGCACTGGTGAGAAAAGCTATTGATAGCCACTTGATCATTCTTAACTGTAGTGTGAATCTGAGTGGGGGGGGCAGTGATATTATTGATGTGGAAGATGACACATCATTACCACATCTAAATTCACAAATTAACAAATGAAGTCTGGTGTGAGTTTAAAATAAAAGATGTTAAGCTGTAATTCTGTTGAAGTCACATGCTTTGCTATTTCAGGACCGAGCTTGAGAAAATGAGTCGATCATTTATTTATATTTCTGTCTCTATTTCTAAACATGAACAGACCACCATGAAGACGACAGGTACACCTGCGGTCGTATTAATACTGTTGACATCATGTTTCCAGTAAAGGAACACTCCAACGAGATCAAGTTTTAAATTACCAAAGGAACAATCTTTCATTTAAAACATCACATTATAAAAATCAAACAAAAGCAGAGGTAAAAAAAAGAACATGATCTAAACTACCTGGCCAGCATGCATGCTACTACACAGAGAGACTATTTCTTTTTGTTCATTTTTTCATTCTTAACGGCTCCTGTTACATACCCACATATTTACATCATCGGTCGATGGTGTGCCATTGAGATCAATCTCACACCAACCTCCAGCAGCAGCAGCAGCAGCAGCATACTGAAATAACTCTACACAACTCATAGAGCTGTGGTGACTTAAAGGAAAAGTCTTGTTAGAGGCCACATTTTTCTTATTGTCAACAGATCCCATGAAAAGAACACGACTGACAAATTTTATCAGCGAAATATAGGTCTGATAAATCGTATTCCTCTGCGCCACGGGGCTTCATTTTTGTACAAAAACTATAGATCGAATCACCGTGACATCACGCTATCAACAACAATCACTTCCAGGTAGAAAACTGGCAATTGACTTCAATTGTGGAGATATGTCAAATCTGCAAACGTGTTGCTATTTTCAGCTGTAAATGACACTAACTGATCAAGATAGCTGTAGTCCAGCAACTCCAGTGTTTTGCAAAGTAAAATTGCTGTTTTTGTCAGCAGAGTCTGGTGTCTGGTTTGAGATAACAGCCTTAGATACCCATCAGGAAGGGCTGTCTGATGGCGAGGTAAGTGAAAATCTTCTAAATATGGTGTATCTTTAGATTTATATAGATTTTTTTTTAGGTAGCTAAAAACTAATAAATGGAAACATGTACAAGAAGCAGGGATTTTCTACCCAGAAATTAGATGTTATAGTTGATTGGGTCTATAAAACACATCAGTGAGCCACAATGATACACTGGGTGACATGTTCCTTCCCTATGATGAACCTGGGCACTGTAGTTTTTTCAGTCAACCCTAACACTGTATTCCTGCTGTAAATACCCAGGGCACTGGATGTGTATTCATCCGCAGCTGAAAATAGTCCCTATGAAATGCACTTTTTAATTTTTAGTACTTTGCTTTTTAAAAAGTAAAACTATACATTCTTGTGTTAAAAGATTTATGTCTTTAGTAAGACAAATGGCCTTGTGGCTGAACAGAGACAGGGTTGAGAAGTCCTAAAATACAGTCTAATGCATGGTACTTGTTGACAGTAAGAAAAGTATAGCCTAACACTAGACTTATCCGTTACATCTTATATCACATTGTTCACACAAACTCACCAGTCCCTAAAACAGAGCCAGTCTGAGGCCCATCTGTAGAGTCCAAAATGAAGGTCCTATCCACAGAGAAATGTCCAGTTTGCACTAAATGTAATCTTGTTTAAATATCCGGAGTCAATCAGTAACATGAGTTCTATATTATCCACAGAGATGTCACAGGCATCATGTGTCTGTCTACCATCAGTCAGGTATGTCAGAGCCCTGGAATCAAGCCGAGGGGTTTGATTGGATGAACGGAATTAGAGCTCCAGTTGAGATGCGAGTTAATTGGCTTGGAAGCTGCTCCGCTATGTGAAACGATTGGAGGAACAGCTTCGTGATTGGACTGAAAGAGGTACTGAACTGAGGGGACAGTTGCCGTCTTGGTTAGGACCAAATTATGTCACATTTGACAAACTGCATTAAAGCTTGACTGAGGCTTAAATGAACATGGTTCCTCTGTGTCTGTGTCGTTAATGAGCATGAAGAGTGAGTTGTTTCTGATCAAAGGAAACCTGCAACACATTAATCCTTACTGGTCACTGCTGTCGGGGCAAAAGTTAATATCAGCAGCACTTGAACATGCTGTACTGTATCTTCTGATTTAATTAACGTCCAGGTCTGCAGTGGAAGCAGATGTTGCCCTTAACTTTGACCCACATTCACACACAAGCACAACCAACCCAATGCCAACAAACAGCCTCATTCTGCCCTTCCTTGTCCTGACAATGGCTGGCGGGTGTGGGGTGTCAAATCTAATGAAACAGGCCAGGAACAACAGCTGAGTGTGTGTGGAAATGGGGTTGGAGGGGTGGAAAGAGGGAGGGAGGGGTTGAGTCAAGACACAAGTGTCCTTGTCAAAGCCGGGGCCAGAGAGAGAGAGCGAGCTGCACTGACCGCAACAACGAGCCCAAAATGGCTGCCAGTCAAAGCTCCAGAAAAAGATACGGTGGTGGTGTCTGTGCTCTCTGAGCGTGAATCACTGCTGTCACTCCTCTCTGGTTGACTGGTGCAAGCTCACGCCAGATCCCTCAGGCGGGCAGGGAGGCAGGCTTGACTCCAATAAGCCCGGGTGAGCTGCAGTAGGCAGCAGGGTTCAGCTTTGGGTCTATTGAGGCCTCCAGTTTGTTAGAGCAGGATTTGAAGGCTGCACGGGGAAGTGTGACACCAAATCTCATCGGATTCTGAACCGTTTACTTGTTTCCTCGTGTTTTCATCCCTTGCTCCCTCTCTCTATTTGATTGGGTGGGAGGATTAGGACTGGATTACCCAAAGGAGGGGATGTGTAGCAGAGTGTGTTTTGTTTGTACATGTGTGTAAAGGTCGGATCTTATAGAGGATGTTGGTTTATCATATGACCTTGTGGGGGAGTATATACTGTAGCGTTGTTACAAAGTGTGCAAGAGCGACTGCCACATGGAGGAGGGGAGTGGAAACCTCCAAATGCTCAGACACAATAAGATTAAAGCTTTGCAATATGCTATTGTTGGCAACACATCTTGAACCAACAGCTTCCTATTGTAAACCAGTAGTTCCCAAACTGAGGGTCTAGACCCGAAAAAGGGTCACAAGTAAAATTAGAAGGGTCTCCAGATGCTTTAAAGAGGGGGCAACTTAAAATAAGCAAATTATTCCTCTGATCTTTGCTTTTTTTCCTTTTAAATCACTGGTTGATTTTTACTTTTTCACGGGAAGAAACCAGTATTTGGTTAAATTAGTAACAACTGGTAACATATGCAACCAAAAACGATGGGGTTGAAGGAGTCACAAGCCAAAAAGGTCAACATCTACTGTCCTATAACAAACCCAATGGCCAGAAAAAATGTTGGCATTGTACATTTCTTAAAACCACAGATATGCTTCATTAGCACGTTATTATGTAGCAGATAAGTTTCACCATCGCCAGGGTTTAACATGTAATAAGGTTTAGGCACAAAAACCACTTGGTTCTGGTTAGGAAAAAGATCATGTTTTTGGCTTAAAATAACCAGTTGGGGGGCACAATTACAGCAGGAAACACTGCAACATCTGGATAAAAAACAATTGCTTTTTGCGCCACAATCCCAGCAGGTAAGGCAGCGATGTCTAGGTAAAAAGACAACCACTTTTTGCGCTACTATTCTGTAAGGAAACACAAAGATGTCTCGGTAAAAAACAACTGTCTTTCATGCCTAAAAATGCTGCTACAAAACACCCACATTTGGTGCCTAAAAAGCTGCTGAAACACAGCAATGACTCGCTAAACCACAACTGGTTTTGTTGTTTGCTGGTCTAAAAAACAGTGATCTGCAGCTTGGCAGGCGTCTCGCCTAGGTGACACGCCATCCACCATCCTCTCCACCTACTAATGATGAATCCAACTCATATACTATGTCACTTTAGAAATGTTGAAGTGGTATGTATGAAGAAATGTACAATGCCAGCACAAAAAATCCAGCTGTGATATATTTAATCTGATCTGCTTTTTAACAATACCGATGAATCTTGGGCTCATCTGTGACCCCCTTTGACAACACACATGAAAACACATGGGAAAACTACATTAAAGGCACTGAAGCACAAACGCCAATGGTTCATTCGAGGGAATAATTTCGCAGGAGGCCGGAGTTGATGGAGAGATAAGAGAGCAAACAGGCCTCTTGATGGCAGATGAGGATGCGCAGGTGACTGATGAGAAAGTGGGACAAATTCAGAAGCCACAACAACAAAACCCTTCAACCACAACAGCATAGAGCTTCCCTGCCTCCGCTCTGGACCCTGAGCTGCACACGTGTGTCACACAGCGTTTTTATTCATGCGCTGAGGAGATCAGAGCGCACACAACAAGGAAATGTGTGTTTGTGTACATGTGTGTGTGTTTACAGTCCAGCACGGTCCAGCCTGACCTGGATTAGCCACTGAAGCTCTGCGGGGCTGCCGAGTGGACAAGAAGGGGGCAGAGGTTGAGAGAGGGGAGGGGCTGCAGTAATCTGCTAATCTCATTAATACCACGGCCTGTGGGTGCCCTGTCAACAAGACGCAGGGAACAAAAGGATGGAGTAAACAGCTGATGACCCTGGCTGCCGTCCACTGCACAATGCCTACACACACACGCACATGCATACACTCGCACAAGACACGTCAGTCTTAAATTTTGCTTCCCCCAGGAAACTCTCCTGAGATAAAATAGAAACATGAGGCAGGCTTGAGCGAGTAAGGATAAAAAAAAAAAAAACAGCAACTGTCCCCTCAGGCCAGACGACCCTCAAAAGGCTCCACTGTCTGTTCGCTTTGCTTTACTGATTACACAGCGCACAGCAGGACCAGCAGGACCTAACATGGACCTCTCAGCTGTTCCCATCAGTCTGAGTCACTTTTCACTGCTGGCACATGAGGCTTGGCCAGCAGCGGATGTCAACATGTCTCCTTGTGTTGTCCTGGAAAATGTAACTTGGCCTCGGCGGATTACACTGTCTGTTTTATTCTTATGTGAATCCACTTTGGAATATAACCAGTGAAAAATCCTTGACGGTATTTGTGTGGAGTGATGATGTTCGTGTCCCGTGCACACTGATTGATCACATTCAGAGAGGCGGCTGAGGATGCTGGGAGGCCGGGCTGTGCAGATCCAGAGGGGCAGCTGGGACGACTGGGACCAGACACACGGGGTCAGATGGGACAGGTGGACCAAATGGTTCCTCAATTCAAGTAAACTCAGGTGGACAAAACAAAACACAACTGTGAGCTTCTGTCAGCCAATTATCTTTGAGGGAGGAAATGTCTGAATTCCTTATTTCTATCTGTGGATGGACGGGACGATGGTGACAAACACAGATGGAATGATTAACTACATAACTCTAACGAGATAGGCTTTTGTTGCTCCTGCAGGGCAGCAGAAGAAGAACAAGGGGAATCTGTATGAGACAAATGTGTGTGCAAGTATACGTGTGAATGAGTGTACAAAAAGGCATGTAGTCAGCAAACTTCCTCTCACCGATCCAGCACCCGACTATAGTCCTGAGGCCCACAGCCACCTTCACTCTTCAGTTCAGCAAATACTTGTGTGAAAAAGTGCGGGTCTGCATTGATGCGCAGCATCTTGGCGCTAGTGGCATCGATGATGGCGAGGCAACGGTCCCAGAAGGCCTCCTTACCCGCCTCAACCAGGAAGGGCTTGAGTGGGTATGAGATCTCGTTGCCCATGTAGGAGTAGGACAGGTAGAGGCAGGTGAGCAGGATGGCCTGCAGCTCATGCTCCGATGCCACCAGGTCGCCGTCCACCACATCTCGGCACAGCATGTAGACGAAGACCACGTTGGCCGGCGTAACAAAAGCCTGGTCCTGCCAGCCCTGCAGCAGCAGCGAGCGGTCCACAGCCCGCAGCCACAGCACAGGGTCAGCCGGAGACAGATGCTTTAGGCGGTAGCAGCGACAGCACAGGAACTCCCCCAGGCAGCGCAGGAGCTCGCTGGTGGACGCCTGGACTATGACACGCTTTGGGGACGAACTCACTGTCCCCTGGGGGACTTTCTTTACAGAGGAGAGCTGTTGGGACTTGCTGTAGCCACACCCATGACCCTGACCCATCCCCAGGCCATAACCAAGCCCGAGCCCCAGACCCAGTCCTGCTGGGCCCTCGTAGCTGGACAGATTGGCACATGACAGCGACTTCTTCACATTCTCACGGTTAAGGTGCAACACGGGGTCCTTCTGGTAGATATTGATGTTGTTGTTGTTGTTGAGAGGGTCCCCGAGGGCCACTTGACCACCGGAGCCTTTCTTGGAGTTTCCCTTCTTCTTCGTCGAGGCCACCAGTCGCTTCCATGTGAGTGCTGGGAGGAAGATGGACTGCCCCCTCTTCAGCCCGCGGTCTTTCTGGCTGTTGAGAGAACGGCTGCTGATGCTCGGGTAGTGGCTGAGCGAGCCCGGCCGGTTGTCATAGTAGCCTGATTTCCGAGAGCCCGGAGACAGCGATAGTACAGTGCCCATGGTGAGTCAGTGCTCCGCAGATTATACTGCCTTACTGCTGTGGTGTAGAGAGGGGACGCGTTGGAAGCAAAGCTCGCTTTTATTTCCTACAATCCAGCAGATGTGAACTCTCTACAGGGAGACGGCATGAAGAGATGAGTGCAGACATGTCAACGACTGAATGACCTGCAGCATCACAACAAACAGGAGGACAGAAGTTAAACACACAGTAAAATAATAACATTAGATCTCATTTTAAAAACCATAACAGCTACATCATATAAAGTGACATTAAACTCTTCAACCGCAGACTAATGTGCTGCAGCCAAACATGATTAAAACCTATATAACTTTATATTAAATACTAGAGTAGATGCCAAACTTTCCAAATATATCAAACATGCCAGGCTGATGTGTATTAAACGATGCAAAACATCCATATGTGCATGCAGTCTTCTGGTTTATACAGGACAAAATGTAGACAAGTCAGACGAAGACAATTTGTTCCGAGCTTCCAGGGGAAATAAACGAGTAAAACTAGATGATAAGGGGTTAATCAACAGCCTGATCTAATCTATGAGCTCCTATTCTCTGAAACCTGTGAAGATTCCTGGATTTAAAACTATATAAGGACTCAAATCTTTCTCCGAATGACAAAAATGCAGGAGTTAAGACGGTGAATAGTGCGTAAAGAACACACTTGAGGCTTTTTACGCACAGTATTTCATTCTGTAATAAGATAGCCTATTACATGTCAACACAGAAAGTAAACATCCTTATTTTAGTTTGTAAAGGACAACATAATTATTCCTATCATGTTATCCCCATCACTGTCCTCCTCAGAGCTTCTCTGATGCTCACCTGTGTGCAGAGATGTCCGGGTATGAGATGTTTCTTGCCGCAGTCAGCGATGGTGCAAAGATACAAAGGAGCGCAAAAGAAATGTTCCTGCAGCCACAGCCGATGACTGGAGATGGCAGCGAGCAGGGAGCAGAATTAAAGTCACTCTTGCAGAAGCTCTGACCCACTCCTCTTCAAAGATGTGCAAGTGTGGAACAACGCGTCGGTCCTCGCCCGGTGGGGTGCAGGTGTCATCCTCCGCTGCACCTCAGACCTCAGGCGAGACTGTTGGCTGACTTTACTGTGATTAATTGTCTCTTCGTTTGTGTCTCCATGTCCGAAAATGTAAACTTTCACAGTGTCTGAGTCCTTTCTATGCATTCCATCTCTCACATCCGAGCCTAAGTCTCCTCTCACGTCTCCCGCTTCTGTTCCCGGTCATCGGTGCGGGTGTCCGCACACTGAACACTTGAGTCGCCTACTGACCGGTGATCGGTCCCGGCTCTGGTCCGACCTCTGAGCGGGCTGCGCACACATTAGAGGCTGAGCAGCCAGTGAGCGCACAGAGCGGCTCTTTACACACCGCCTCCCCGAGACACTGACTCCTCCTAACGGGGCTCAGCTGCCTCCTCCTGACACACACACACACACACACACACACACACACACACACACACACACACACACGCACAAACAAACAGCACACAGTACAGTACAACAAATAGCCTAGTACTATATAGAAATCTATCTATCTATCTATCTATCTATCTAGTATTAAATATAATACTGTAATAAAATAAAATGAAATAAAGCAAATAAGCAAAAATATTAATGCACAGCTTGCATTCATTTACAGAAGGAAAAAACAATGTAAATAAAATAAAATAAAATAAAATAATAATAAAATAAAATTAAATAATTCAGGGAAAAACCGAATCAAATTTATTGAACAAATGTAAAACAAATTAAATAAGAAAATATAAAAAATAAATAAATCTAATAAGTGAATTCAATTAAGTAAGTAAATAATAGTTCATAATACAAAATACAACTAATTATTATTAAACTGAAATAGAATTATAGTAAAGCTGTTAAAAATAAATACAAATTTCATTAAATGAGAAACTCATATGTTTCATTTATTCCCTCTTCCAGAGCTTTTGATCACATCACATGATCGTCATCAGCGCAGCTGTCATGATGAAACTGTAGATGGTCAAACTTTTTTCTCAGCATGTGAGACTTCTTCTCATCTGCTGATGAAGACAGTGTGATATGATTGAAAGCTCTGGAACAGCTATGGATGCTGTGGTCATGTAGTGTTCTCAACTGCTGTTCATGAATGAACTTTGACCATCAAAATAAAACATTTTTAATAACAGATATTAACAATAGATAAACACTGGATAGGAACAGTGACACACTTGTAGTAGTGTTAATCATAGCAGTAGGGCTTACTGATAGCGGCAGCAGTAGAGGTGCCGTGGCAGCAACAGTAGGCCTATTTGTTATTTTATAAGTAAAATGTGCACAAATCTTTATGCCAGCTCTGCACAAAGTAGCACTTGTCCGATAAACACTCTCAGCTACATAAACTGCAAATGGTGCAGAATGCATGTGGTCCAGTGAAGGTGTAATGACTTGAAAGAAGTTGTGCAATATTCCCTCAGAAGCCTGGAAATATATGTGTCACGCACAGGGAGGTACAATAATAGGTTCACATTGATTTATGGCAACAATATGCAAAAACGTTATATTAAATGTCCGCTATAAGACTGAGCTGCTCATATACTGCTCCTCCCTGAAATCTTTATTATACTCACACTTGTTTTGCTGTCCCTGTTCTTTTGTATGGTGAAGCTGACACCAGGTTTTTGTTTCAGTAATCCTTCTGTGTCAGTCAACTGTATAAAGCTTTATGAATGAAATCGAATTGACAAAGGGAACAACAGATCACGATGAAGTACTGGTGAGGAGCTCACACCTGAGAGGGTTGTACTCCAGGTTGGAGTAAGCCTCCCTCACATGGTGGCAGGTCTGCTGTTATTATGCAAGTGTCTTCACAAATCCATCCTGTGTTGTAGGTTGTGGAGCTGCCTGAGCTGTCGAGTATAAGAGGATCAGATACAATGCTTGGAAGGACGGGCGATAAAAGATGATCCATCCATTTCGGCTTTGGATCTGCCTGTGTGTCTGGTATTCAGTTGACTGATGTAAACACCCGTCCATTCATTTTCTGTAACTGCTTATCCTATTCAGGACTGGAGCCTATCCCAGCTTACACTGGGCGCGAGGCAGGGTACATCCTGGACAGGTCACTAGACTGTCACAGGGCTGACAGACAACCATTCAGGGTTATATTTTCACACCTACAGTTAATCTGACCTGCATGTCTTTGGACTGTGGGAGGAAGCAATAAAGTTTCTTTTTATAATGTGATAAGTTTGTATTTTATAATAACGTGAAAAAATCTTGTTATTATGTGAAAAAAACATTTTTCTTGTTATAATGTGACACCGATCTGTTTTTCTTTCCCTGGTTTGGTGCAATACGTCACTGTAATATTGTTTATCATATCACAAGCAAAAATCTAAATGACTAAATTTAGGCAGATTTTCATTCTGGATCACTGATCAAAATAAACGACACTCAAGTTGTCTTGGTGCTGTTGTGGTTTATAAGTTCAAATGTTTTCACTAATGGCTTAATTGACAGTTAATGAGTGATTATACTAATACTTAGATCAGTTATAGATCATTAATGAGAGGTTTTGGGTTGTCGGGTGAAAAATCCCTTGGAGTGGTTGGTCCACTACTCAAAACCCAAATATTACCAACTTCATGACAAATTTGCAAGTGAGAAACCTGTGGTCTGTATTGATACTAAGATTCCTAACTGAATTACTGCCAAATACAAAAAGTAAACATTATAACCAATAAAATGATTCATTGACCATTATTAAAACAATAACTTCCATTTTAGATACTCTCAGTAAACTATTCATTGTTAGAAAATTATACCCAATCATTAGTTGGTTTTCCATCTATATGTAGTGCAAATTTTAACTGAGTTTTTAGAAAATCAGCAAAGAAAATGTGAATATATGTACATTTCCATACTGTTGTGTGAATATCTGGAGTTTGTTCATCGCATGAGCAGAACATTGTGCTAATTCTCCAGTCAGGTGCCACAGCAGAAGAAGAGGGCACAACAAGATGATGTAATTAAAAGAGCGCCAGTCAAACCTCAAAAGAAGTAAAATAATGGATATATAACAACAAGAGGCACAGTGGACAATAGAGTTTTGAATAAATGATATGTAACCAGTGGACTTTAGTGTTATCTGCGTTGTGTTGATATAAAGAGGCCCAGACCGTGGATCTCTTTTGAGGCGATTTCCGTTTATTCCTCTCCTGACAACAAATGGCAAAAACAAAAATCCTCTGTCACACACAACCACACAAACTCCAGCCCCTCTCCCACAGAGCACAACAGCAAAAGGGCAGCCATGTTACATTCAATTAAGCTCAATGAAACAGAAAATATACCTGACAACAGGTGGCAAAACAAAAATCTACCGTCACACAACCACACCATCTCCAGCCCCTACACAAATCAAGCGAAACAAGATTACGTCAGCATAAAATGAATTTCTAAACAGCTTAACAGCGCTAACACACAGAAATTACCACAAGAGCAATGTCATACATAAAAGGAGGTTGTTGGAAACACACCTACTGTTTGACTAAAATGCTTTAATCTTTTCATTTTCTTATGCCTAATCCTCCGTAGATTTCCGGAAATAAGGAGGAACTATTTGATTGTGTCTCAAGAATTCCCTAAAGATGGGAAATTGTGGGACACCAGAGAATAAACAGCACAAACACATGATGAGATGAGATGATAAGGAGCAGATGAGATAAGAAGAAGAGTGGTGGTGTGCAAGGGAGGGCGAAAAGAAGACATAAACAGAGGATGTAGGAAGAGAAATTTTTGAAACCACACACATTTACTGTAAGTAGCCTACATTAAACATCCCAAACTCAGGAAAATAAAGACGCCAATAAAAAGTACATTAAAAATTAAACACTGACATATTAAAGTCAGGGCGGCACGGTGGTGTGGTGGTTAGCACTGTCGCCTCACAGCAAGAGGGTTGCCGGTTCGATCCTGGGTGTGGGAGCCGCCCTTCTGTGTGGAGTTTGCATGTTCTCCCCGTGTCAGCGTGGGTTCTCTCCGGGCACTCCGGCTTCCTCCCACAGTCCAAAGACATGCAGATTGGGGATTAGGTTAATTGATAACTCTAAATTGTCCGTAGGTGTGAATGTGAGTGTGAATCGTTGTCTGTCTCTATGTGTCAGCACTGCGATAGTCTGGCAACCTGTCCAGGGTGTACCCTGCCTCTCGCTCGATGTCAGCTGGGATAGGCTCCAGCCCCCCCGCGACCCCCAAGAGGATGAAGCGGTTAGAAGATGAATGAATGAATGAATATTAAAGTCCATTAAATCTGGTTCTTCTTGTCTTCCAAGGAGAAAGTTAGTCGGAGAAGCTACTTCTTCGCACTGTGCTTATAGGTCAAAAAACACTTATCCATAGAGACCACTGTATCATTCATCTAAAGGTGGAAACAGCCTGCAGCTGTGTGCAAATACTTGTTTGTTGTCTTGTGTGTGAAAGGTCCACCAGCAGCCTCTAGAAGAAGAAACTGGAAATTCAAATCTGTCATATAGTGTAAAAGTGACTGCATAAAACAGGGCTTTCTTCCCTTTTCCCACAGGGGTTGAGAAGGACAGAAAAGCCCCTGAGACAGTCAGAAGAGGGGGAAGACATGCACTCAGCCACCATCCCATTCTTCATCTCTCTATGCAGCACTCACAAGGACCAGAAACCTGCCATTTCCTCCAGCCTTTCAACAGAAATCTTTAAGTGCTTCAACAAGAGAAGAGAAAAAAGACTAACAGCAGTTAACTCTAAAAGATGACAACAATGAGCGCATATTTTCCATAGCAAATTCTAAATGCATCGGTGAATAAGAACCACAAAAAAAAAAAGACTTCTCAAGAGTTTTTTTTTTTTCTTATCTGGAGCCTTTTTGGTGAAAACCACTTATCTGATTGATCACTTTATAACCTTACAGAATACGTCTAAAAGCTTGTTTGGCAGCTTCTCAAACAAGCTGTCAGACTCACAGCTGTCCACTTCTTTTATTATCACTGAGTCATCCTCCAGAAGAGACAGACTTTCATTGGAGCTGCCAGAAAGACAAAAACCCCTCGCTGTGCATCCACTACACCTCTTTCATTATAAATATGTACAGTATATTTAATTATAGAGCCGTTATATAGGGAGACATGTTTTTCCACACCTTCACCCACTGAAAAACCACATTCAATCCTGCAATATATATACATATTTTGGGCAACACGTTTATTCCCTTGATCTTGCAGAGAGTTAGATGAGAACATTACACACATAGCTTAACTTAGCATAAAGACTGCTAAGCTATGGGGGGACAGCTAGTCTGAGTCCGTCCAAAGACACTGAAGAGCCCCTTTTCCATTGGACAAAAAACTCACTAACAACCACTGACGTCTGTTTTTGTATTCA